AAATTTTGGCGACTAGAACGGTCTGTTAACCGATGTGACGGTTAATCGGGGTCGGATAATCGATGCTCTACTGTACATATATTCTATATTTTGTATTTTTAATTTTCTCAAATCTCTGTAATTAAATTTTATTTTGTGAATTTAAGAACTTGAAAATAAAAGAATTTAAAGTACATATTATAGATTTTGATAACCCAATAAATTATAAATAGCAATGGCATGCCGTGACATTTGATGATAGGGAAGCTGTGTTTCTGTAAAAAGCCGACATCAAGGGGCAATCAGTCAATTGCGCGTCAGTGATGGTCTAGACCAGTGTTTTTCAACCTTCTTGAATACGCGACCCCTTTACAAGTTAAAAAATTCTGGCGGCCCCCATGGCCATATTAAAACTATGTCAGTGATTTTAGAAACTACTGTACGTATTTAATTTTCTTTCTGTAGAGATTTAAATATCGATAAAAAAAAAAAACCAATTGTACTGTAAAGTAAACAGGCACAGCCTTCTCACTGAAATTGTAGGTTTTTTTATTGTGATGTAGGGCCTACAAACACTTGTCCTTTTCTTTTACTCGCGACCCCCGTATATGGTTTTGCGACCCCAAGGGGGTCGCAACCCACAGGTTGAAAAACACTGGTCTAGGCTCTAGGGTCCATTCGTATCGTTTATTCGATAAGCCAGTAAAAGCCGTAGGACTATTCTAAATGTATTTTTAATATCACAATTACATTCCGAATCGCTAGCCACGATATAAGGGCTACAATTAAAAATAAAATAATAAAAACTTGGTGAAATAAAATGTGTGATGGATGTACAGTACTGGTACAGTATATACCTGGTACAAAATATTCTTCAATTGTATGAATACATTTTTAAAGAAAATTATAATTAAATATAGCTTTGTAAAGAAACGTACATAAAAATAACAAAATATTATTTTCTTTTTCAATCTTAAAACAATCCACCTAGTCAAATAGCTCCCTGCGAGTGGCTAATGGATGGAATCAGAGACGGTCCTGGTAGGTTGCACGGAACGCGGACTGCCAAATCCCGAAGGTGCCGATACTGGTCAATGTCAAATGCCTCTTTTGTCACATCACTAGTATATCTCAAAGGACGCGACAGGGTTGTTGTACATTTTAAACGTTTCTCGCCGTAGCTTTAAAAATCTAAATATGTTAAACTTTAGATTGTCCGTCATTTGTTTTCTAACTAATTCGTTTTAAGACCAAGTGTCCTCAGAAATTTCCAAAATTTACAACTTTTCGGTCACTCTCGTTGAACTGGAAAAATTTTTGTCTTTATTACATTAATAATACGAAGAAATCAGCCTCCATTGTAATCGGCTAGAGATGGTTCGGTTAAGCTTTTGTTTAAGTAAAATTTCGGCGCTTTCATCAGAGTTTTGTTTATGTCTCCAATTCCCTAATCGCTTAACTATTTAACTTTTTCTTAAGTAGAAATGAGTCGAAACCAGTTACTTTGTACTCGAATATTTGTAGTCTCGGGAAAAAGTGGAAAGACAAATTTTTATGACAAACGGATATATAAATCGTAAATTTAAGGAAAATAAATTCTAGAGCTTTTTCTGTACCTCGTGCATCTCTCTCATTCATTAAATTTAGTTGTAAATGATGCTGTCAAAGTAACAGTTAATTTTTTAACATTATACAATAATTGTACACGTTTTTTTCTACATCCCGTTAAGGATGGAATATACGAAATCGTAATATAACTGGTTTAACATTGAAATCCGTGAGTAATATAAAATCGGAAAGCGAAATAAAAATATCAAATATTTTAATGGATTTTTTTAAACTCCTGTCAACTATACAGAAATATCATAAAAACACACCAGTAAATTCTTATCGGTTGGGTTAAGTTATAAATCTACTCGTGATTCGCGTAATCGGGCGAGGACGGCCAAATATCTAGCGGGCAGGCGGCTAACAGCCCAGAACCGGTCCTGGATAGAATTGGATGCGGTGTACAGTACGTGTAGCATCCCAAGGACTTTAAACTACAAGGATAGCCAGATCCCGTATATTTCTTAGCGTGACCTTGGCTCTACGTGACGTCACAGCAAACCCTCTACTTCAACATGACAGATCTTTCAAATAACAAAATACGATAAAATATTAAATCATTTCTTAATTAATTATTAAATTACTACTAAATGTAAACTACTGTAGAATTTTCGGATTTAATAAGTGTACTGTACGTCAATAAATTTACAAGTCTTTTGTCTAACATTTATTTAACAAATTAATGAGCTATATTTTTTATTATGTGATTATCTTACTTAACTTTTTAATTTTTTTTCGACAATCACCATTTTCAGAAGGCATTCTTTTCAATATTTTATAGTTTTCTTGTTTAAGATTTCTATAATTAATTCTTATTATAGTTCTTAATTTACAAAAATCTTTTATTAAAGTAAAAGGTAAAACTGTTTCCACTGACTAATTCTGTACAACTCCGGGGCCTTTTTTATACGATTCATCGTGATATATTTCGAAATATTTATTCCATTCTATAATTTTTGCTAGCCATTCATCAGTAGGTTTAATAAGCCCTCCATAAGATAAATGTTGCACCCATGACGGAATGCTATAGTTGTGATGATTTTTAATTTTGTTAGTGGAATTAATTAAGTTTGGGTATTTTTCTTTATATTTATAGGCAAAATATCCTGCTATATACTCGAGAGCATCGTAGGAAGTTTCTTCAGAGATTGTGTTAAAGTCTAGATTGCATGTAGAGTTTCCTGAAGATTTATTTGAAGAAAAAGTAGTTTTACATTCAGTATATTGGTCTGTATTTTCACTTGATACTTCTACATGTGCTTTCTCTAAAACTTTGGGTATAATATATTCCTCTTGTCTTCGATCTGTAGTATTTACTTTTGACTCTAAAATACCAGGATTCTTACCTAAAATAATCAATCTAATCCTATATATAGCATTTAATGGGCTTGGATGTTCATTAGGACCCCGGCTTCTAATTTGAAAAAAAAAGTTTTCCAGACAATCTTGATTTAAGTGCAGATGTATTTTATATCAAAAGTCGATTTCATATCTTGAAAAAGATCAATTAGCGATTTCATTGAGATTATCATTCCTTTCTGGAAAATTTGGAGGGCATTTTTTCCACTTGCTCTCATTGTTGAGATTATTTTTATCATTTTATTTAAATGTTCTTCTTGTAATTCCAAGTCTACACCATATCCATTTTTGCTTGGAACAGAACCTTTTGGTGCATAGCTATTAAAAATGTCGAACCACATATTTATATCTCTAATATACGTTTCATTGATAATAATAATTGATTCATAATAAACGTTTCATTGATATTCACATTCAATTCTTTCCATAAACTTATGTTACTGCAACTACAGTCACTGACGCAAGCTACTACATTATACGATAGTAAATAAAGTTCTGCTATTAATTTTAAAAGTATTTCTCTTGTCATTTTTTGATCAAACCCGATGTAAACAGGTTGCTTCCAATTTGAAAAAAGAAGGTTATTATTGCAACCATACACAGCACACCTAGTACTCAGCATTTTGTTCTTCACCTAACATAAAAATATAGCTTTAAATATTTAATGACTTATATTTAAATCATCTTACCTTATAAAAAACTTAGTCAAATAAAACAATTACAGAAATATTAAAATAAATCACTTCGTTAATCACAAAATTGGACGAATATTAAACGCGAAAACTTAACACGTGCACACCCTGCTCTATGTAAACAGAGAGGTCACACGTGTCCTATCCAGGACACGTGCTGACGTCATTAATTTGGCATTCCTGGCTAACGTTGTAGAATAGGGATCTGGCTATCCTTGTAGTATATAGTCCTTGTGTCCAGCCGCCAAATTATGCAATATTTATGCATATTTCTGTGAAAAAGGGTTCTCAACTATGATGGATATAAAAACAAAAAAACGCAACTGATTGCGGTTAGATGCCTGCATGCGGATATTACAAATAATTGAACCAAAAATTAATAAATTAGTTGATCATATTTTCATTATTAGCAGCAGAAATCTCTAAATTTTTTTCGAATATTTTTTGTTTTTTCTGTGAATTTTTAATGTTTCTAATTTTATTTTTTGTTAAAAATTAATGAGTTTTTATGTTTAATTGTGAAGTTTGAATGTTATTTAAATAGATAATGAAATAATAGTTATGTTTTACTTTTATTACATAAAAAATAAAGCAATAATAAAAAATATCAATTTATTATAGGTAATTTAACAAATATAAATTATTATTTAAAAAATGGGGGTCACAAAAAAATTATGCAATATTTGGTGGGCCGCGAGTATAAAAAGGCTAAGCGATCCTCTTTTACCAAGCCCATTATGGGTTCGGACAGGCCGACAATGGGGCGGCCGGGCGGTAAGGAGCGGGGCCTGACATATTCGGACTACTCCCAAAAATTTCTGGGGTTTTATCACCCGTCTGGATTCGAACCCGGGTCCTGCAGTGCGGTAGGCTTGACCGCTTCCTATACAGAGCGTTATATCTTGACCGCTCGGCCATCCGGCCGTCTACCGCTTCCGGCCGTCTACCGCTTCCGGCTTCAAGTGCTCCACTAGTAGCAACAAAACGCTTCTGCTCCAGCTAGATATTATAGTTCTGTCTAAGGTCTGTCTCAAATATATCCAGCTCCGTCTATATTTCTCGGCCGCTCCATTATGGGTCTGCCCGAATCCACGATAGAACTTGAAAAAAAGTTCTTAGTGCTTATTTTTTTTTTCATTTTTGATTCAGGAAGAAAAGAATCAAAAATGAAAAAAATAAAGAGAAATAAACAACGACAGATGACAATGGAATAATATAAACTATAATGAAGTTTTTACTTTATTATAATGTTTACTTGCATTTAGTTGTATTAAAATATCAAATATATATTATAATGAAATTTGATTTAATTAAAAATACTGTATAAATATTCAGAAAATAATTAAAGAAAAATTAATTTCAGAGATGGCGCTTTAGCTCTCTCGCTATGCATGTCGGGAACAGCGTTTGTTTATCATATTTAAAACGGTGGAAAGTTTGTATTTTGGTTTTATATAAATTTTTTATCTGTTACACGTTTTTTTTTAATTTTAAAGAACTAAGAACTCACAATGGATATAGAAAATCTAAAGCGTTTGTTAGAAGAAAAAGATAAAACTCTGGAAATTGCTGCTCACTATGGGAAAAAATTATTAGAAGATAACAGACAATTGAGTGAAAGATTAGAAAAACAAAATAAAGAACATGTGAAGAAAATAGAGGTATTAAAATTAACATTAACTCTTATTTTAATTCTGTTTTCTTCCAAAAAAAAAAAAATAATAATAATAAGTGTTTTAATATTATATTTTTTCCATTAATTAACAGTATAATTTATAAGTGTAGATATTTGACAAATATGGTAAAAGTCATTTAAATTACTTCAGCAAATAACATTATACATACATTTGCCATTATTATAAAAATATTTAACTATAAATTCACAAATGATAACCTATACATTGTATTTTTTGGAAGAGGAAAAAGAAGTTAGTTTTTTAATCTTGAGTACCATTATCAATATCTTAATCGGGTGTGGTTGTTCGTAACGAGTGATTTTTAAGTCCGCAAATAAACGTTACAAATAGGAACACAAGAACAAAAATGTGTATGATTGGATATTCCTTTAATGCACTCCGAACACGGTTCTTTTATCTTGTTTTGTTACAAAGATCCCAACTTATTGGGTTCCTTTACCCGATTACCCTCAAAGGGAAATAGGTCACCTCGTATTCTCGTTCAAGTATATAATATACACGCGTATAACACACAACCTTGATAACCAACTTAAAAAACTAATCTTATGTCTAACTTAAAACTAATATAACAGGGAAACGTAGGAAACTTGTTAAGTATAGAAAGCATAAAGAGAAAGAGAGTACCTGGGTCCATGTTGATTGATCGATATCTTCTGGAGGTGCCCTTTCACAGACATTATCTTTTATTCTCCTTTACTGATTCAGCAATCTGTTCTTGAGGTTCTCCAATTCTTTTGGTTTTCCTTAGTTCCTTGTGCTTCTTCCTCTCTAATCTCAACAGTCCTCTCCTATACCTGCTGTCTTCCCACCTCTCTTTTCAAGCTTCACTCACTATACTGTACATCCGTTCTTTCAAGGTCCAGCCAAAAAGTGTTCTCCTCTCTCCTTTCTTCTTGCCTCAGGCTACATTTTCTTTTGTTTATTTCCCCAAATTCAGAGAAGCACTAATACCTCACTCCTTTGTTTCACCCTTGGTTCTGAGAAGAGGTAAGCCTCCCCCGTCAAGTAGTAGCGGTTGATATGGAACGTTCTCAAAGAAAATAAAAGAATAGAAATAAAATAAGGAATTGTGAACTATATACAAACTACAATATGGCTGACGGCCACAAGGGAATGTTTTTATTCTCTTAGGTCAGCTTCATCCAATAATAGTTGTAAACTTCTACAACAGCTGATACAGTTGATCCCCCCTATAACAATGTTGATAATTCCATGTTATATGAATTCCATGTTGTACGAGTCACTCAGATTTTACAAATATGTGAGCCGTTCACAGCCCAGCACATGTATTTGTAAAATCTAAGTGACTTGTACAACATGGAATTCATATAACACGGAATTATCAACAGTGTTATATGGGGTCAACTGTATTTGTATTCAAAGGGTATGAATACGTTCTTTAAAAAGAAATGAAGGTATTATTCAAGCCCCAAATGAGGGGTTTTTTGACCTCCAAATTGAAAACCACTTGTACGAGCATAAAAGTCAGAGGAACCATACCTCTGTATGGATCCTTTGTGAGTCACATATAGTTGAAGTTAAAAAAAAATGATTAAATCATTTTTTAACTTCTAATAAATGAAAATTTCCTATTGAGACTGAGTTGAGACTGATTTTAGAGAGAGATAATAATGTAGTCTCATAAAAAAATTTTATAAGTAACATTTATTTTAACAATTTTTTTTAATTATAGGAACTTGAACAACAAAAACATTCACTTCAGATGGCCATGGAATTGAAAAATCGAATGGAAAATTCGCACGTAGTGGAAATTGAAAGTTTAAAAGAAAATTTAGAAACACTACATAATTTAAATAAAGAATTAAATGAGAGGGATACAGAGCAAAGAAGAAAACTTTCTGATTTGAATAAACAGGTAATTAATTATTTTTTTATAAATATGTTTAAAATATAGAATTACAAAAATTAATTCAAAATATCTGAAATAATTTATATAATTCATTTTTATTTGTTAATATGCAAAATATTATTGAAGCAAAAACTTATAAATTGTAAGTTTAGTCTTATTTGTGTGAGTGTTTTGGCTCTGATCCCTTGACTAGACTATATGATAGGGTCCATAGCACACACTCTGACTACACTGTGGAACGAAAAAGTAATCATGTTTCAACAACAATGGCAGTTAATTGAAATAAGGAAAATACCAAGGATTGGAAATACTAGTAATGACAATGTTTTATGGCAATTTAAAATAGTATTGAAACAGGTTACAAAAGAAATATTAATGATAACAATAACAATAAATGGATTAATATTGATGATGATAATTAATTAAATTAACAGTGGTTTATAATAACCATTACTAAATGTGAGTAAATTAAGAGTAAATAAAGATCCAGCAATTCCTTTGCCGTACAGAACTCTGATCAAATGTCTGGCAAAGCTAAGGAAATTGAAAATCCAGCTTTTTTAATTTTTGGATTTGTAGTTTTTTTTACACAGAATTTTGAAAATTGCCAAAAATAAAAAAGACAACAACAAATTACTGGTTAATATCAATAAACCATCTAATTCATTAACCACAAAAACCAACAAAAGAACTATTTACTTGAAAAGCAAACATTTTCAAGTAAAGCATATCAGTAATCCTGGGGTTTCCAGCATGCTGGTCTTAACTAGATATATGCTGTATGCTGGTCAATCCATGAAAATATAGTAAAAAATTATATCAAATTTAGACATTTCATAGTCTTATATCCAAATTTTTGTCATAGGATGAGCATTATATCATAGTAAAAAAAAATTCTGGTGCATGTACACGTTATTGGCAAGCGCCAAATCCGACAGAGAGAACTGTTTTTGAGCCAAGATGGCTGCCGAAACAGGTAAGGAACCAACCACGTGTTTGTTCAGTGCCTGAGCCAATTCAGTTTCTATCGGTGACGACTACTGCGAGGACCAAATGGAGAACAAATCATTGAATTTATGTCAAATTCTAGACTATATCGGCGACAAGAAACATCGTCTTGTAGAAGGTGAAGCCGTTTTGGATGCTGGACACATCATATTTTGTGGATTAAACTCTAACAATGACACCAAAGTTCATGTTGTCAATTACAGGGAGAATGCACGTGCAAAGTGGGACTGTCTGGTTTTTGTAAACATGTGATAGCATGTTTATTACACATTAACAGGTGAGAAGTATTTAAATATTTTAAGCAGTATACACCATGTTCCAATATAAAAACATAGTTTTATTTATCATAATAGTTAAAATTAGTGCCAATCTGAAGACTACCTTGCTGAGTCATTCAGTACTTATACAACATAGGCCTGTCAAAAGTTTGTAGTACACATTATGTTTTGTGTGTGTATGTACAGTATGTCTCATATATCCAATACGGCTTCACCTTCTACAAGACAACGTTTCCTGTCGCCGATATAGTCTAGAATTTGACATAAATTCAATGATTTGTTCTTTGTTTGGTCCACGCAGTTGTCGTCACCGATAGAAACTGAATCGGCTCAGGCACTGAACAAACACGTGGTCGGTTCCTTACCTGTTTTGGCAGCCATCTTGGCTCAAAAACAGCACCCTCTGTTGGATTTGGCGCTTGCCAATAGATGAGAAGTTTTGTAAATATATAATGTTATGTTTTCATTTGTTTTTAGAAAGCAAAATTTAATCATACATCTGAAATAAATCTCAATGAAGTAAATACAGATTAACTTAACTTAAAATTTGAAAGCTTACCAAATTCATTCATCAATCTTTTATATCTACTCTTGATTTTATTGATCATATGAGAACATTAACACACAAAACTCAAAACACATTGACATTTGTTCAGAAAAAGTTCTATTCCCTACCTAACATAGTGATATTGAAGTTTGCCTGTTTTAAGTCACACTTACTGTATAACAAGTAACAAATTCATATCATGTGACTACCTCAACTCATATTGCTACATAAATAATTCAAAAGTAGACAAGAAGGAACCTTTCTATATACTTGACATCTGTTGCTGATATAATACGATGTGTGGAAAATAAATTGAAATAGTTTTACTGCTTAGTAAATAAATGTTATAATTTACAAAATGCTAATTTTTCTTTGTTAAAAATATAAAATAAAGATATATTATACAGTAAAATATTTCAATGAAGATTAGAAAAAAACAATTTTGAAAGATTTGAACATTCAACAAGCAGCAGAGTAGTCAGTCAATCATTTTGCCCACTCAGCAACTGTTGACATATTGTCTCTATAACATAATACATAAGGAATATGGAAAACTTTAAAGTCATTTTTCTTGCAAATGCTTGAGATTGAAAATTTCATCTAGTGGCTTTGCTATAGATTATTTATAGGGTAGTATTACTAATATAAAAGCTGTTGTCTGTGTGTGTGTTTGTGAATTTATTATACCTCCTGTAATTTTTGTCCAATTCAGATGAAATTTTGGTTTTATTTGTTTTATGTTATGACAGAAAGTATAGGTTACTTATTTTGCAGAAATATTAGCTACAGAATAAACTTTTTATTGATTTTGAATTGGTGATTGCACTTATGTTGCAGTGACACCATTGACCTCATTTATTTCAAGCTTGACGACAAAATTTCTCTTAAGTTGCATTTTAAAATATTTTGGCAAATGGCATACTTTAAACTTACTTCCTTAAATTTAAACTTTAAAGAAGATAGCTGCATCATATCACTTCTTTAACAAATTAAAAAAAAAAACTTTTTTCATAGTGACCACATGACATTCTATTATTCAATCAGAAGTAATGATCTAACGAGTTCATTATTTAGAAAGTGTTATTGCTTATCTAATTAACATACTGTACATATAATTCATCTTTGTTTTATCAATATGAACTTAAAAAGACTTGCTATTTTGTCTTTAAAAAAGCCTAGGAGAAAGCCTAAGAGTAAATTGGTCAGGTAAATTTTAGATCTAAAAGAATAAGAACAACTGAGACCCCTGAAAGCCATAAAGTCCAACTTGAGCAACATTGAATAAGAATGGCTTTGTCAAGGGCTGCAGAAACAGCATCACAATGTCAAACTTGAGTATAAACTACTTAATTTCTAGAAATATTGGGTTGTTTGGAAAGTAATTTCGTTTTTTTTCCGTGGAAAAAAAACACAATATTTTTATAATAAATAAATATATTATTGAATTATATATCAACCATTTTGGTCAAATACCTGTTGTCATTGTTTCTGGTAGTAGCATGATTTCACATTCATAAAAGTTTTGATCATTGCTTACAAAAAACTGATCCAAGTGATTTTTGACATTGTCATTTCAAGTAAATGCCTGTTTTGTTGATCACTTCTGGCCGCGTTTTCTGTTTGATGATATTACTCAATTTGTTTACTCGATGGCAGTACACTTTAAAATCAGTTGTTAAATTGTCTGGTGAAAGCTCCAAAAAAAAAAAAAATTTCCTTAAAATCCCACCAAAGAGAGCATCTCTCTTTAAGAACATGTGGAACCCATATATCAAGCTTTGAAACGAAACCAATTTGTTTCAAGTAATCATAAACAATTCAATTTGACAAATTTAATCTCTTAATGATTTCACGTGTTGTTATTTGGCAGTTTGCTTCAATGAGTACCTTTATTTTGTTTTCATTGGTTTCAACTGGCCATCCAGAACGTGGTACACATCTTCAATATTGAAATTGCCAGAACGAAATTTTGTAAATCAGTTTTGGCACTGTCATTCTGTCAATACATCTTTTCCATATATGTCACACAATTTTTTTCTTGCTTGAACAGCATTCTCACCTTTTCGGTAATAAAAGAGCAAAATATGACAAAAATGCTGTTTCTGATCTTCCATATTTGATAGGACCAAAGTATAAAGAATTGCACAAAATCAAACAAAATTTTTTTAAAATAAGCCTTAAAATGCTAGCTGTCAAAATATATAATGATAATACGGTTTAGAATGAAAATGGCGGGAAAAATACGACTAATCCGTCTAGTGGTAAAAAAAAATTAAATTACTTTCCAAACAACCCAATATTAGCAACTCTTCTTGAATTTCTTAAAATCTACTCTTCTCAATTCTTCAATCTACTTTCTCCTAAAAAGTATTCTGTCATTCTTGACAGGAGAATTTCTAGTAACAGTATATACAGGATGTATCAGAATGACGTTTTAAAAATTTGGGGGATTGTAGAGGATGAAATTTTGAACGTTTTGATATAAGGAACCCATAGCCGGAAATGTGATATAAAGTTTCTATAGCACTTTGCACTTTACAGTCAGTATGCTGAATGAAACAGCAGAATACAGTATTTATGACAAGTTTTATTGACAAAACAGTAGATTACAATCAAACTGTACATCGAATCGTATATGTGGCTGCATTACATTAGAGTAAATGTTCAATGTGACGACCACCAACTTCGTTACATAATGTGCAATGACGAACCATGTTTTGTCCAACTCACTGTAAGATGCCACACTACCCGCTGATGGTATTAAATGCTGTAAAGATGCGCTCCTTAAGCACATGAACTGTTTCTACAGGTGTTGCATACACAAGGGACTTTACATAACCCCAGAGGAAGAGGTCAAGAACAATAATATGACATCAATGGATGGAAGGATAGCTACCAAAGCAAAGGGCGATCAAGCACTTCTTACCGCTGTAGAAACTTTATATCACATTTCCGGCTATGTCAAAAGGTTCAAAATTTTATCCTCTACAATCCCCCAAATTTTTAAAACATCATTCTGATACACCCTGTATTTGATATACAGGGTGTACTCAATGAAATCAGAGACAGCCATCTGTCCCATTACTATATAAGCAAGGTTTCAACATCACTATATTAGGTAGCAAATAGAATTTTTTTTCTGAAAACACTAAGGATATTTTCCTTAGTGTTAT